TGTTTTGCAGATGTATGAGTCATGGAAAGAGGACCCGAAGTCAGTGCATGCGTCGTGGGATGCCTATTTTAGAAATGTGGAGGGTGGCGCCGCACCTGGACAAGCATACCAGGCTCCTCCAGCTGCATTCGGAGCTGCTGGAGTCCCAGGAGTACTACCAGTTGCTGTTGGTGGCGGATTTGCCATGTACGTATGATACCTTTGAATAAACAAAAAAACGTTTTTTAGGAAATAGAAGATGAAGAACTAACAAAAGCGATTTTAAAAAGAAATAATTGATCAAAAATTACTTTTTATTCTGATTTTGCGAAATGCTTAAAAAATCTCAGTTTAGCTTTCTATTCTCAACGCCACCAGAGGACGTAAGCATAAATCTGAGTTCACTGTTATTTGTCAAATTTTGCAATTTTCCCCTAGATTTCTGAGAAGCAAATGCGTCTTCGTGTGCTTTTGAGCACAAATCACATACACCGCATCAGATCTTCCCTTTTATAAGAAGAGAGTTGCAGTCAGAAATCAAAACCTAATATGGGTTATGTTATCGCTCTGATATTTGTTGCATCCAGCGCGAAACGGTTCTTATGAAGGTAGAGTGTGGTCAGCTTATGTCCAATCTTCAGCGGCCAAAAAAAGTTGCAGGCAAAGCGCCTTTTCTTCGTTTTTGGCGTGCCTAAAAACGTGCTTCTTCCGCGTAGCTAACCTTTTGTAACGCGGGTGCGGTGTGACAACTTTCTCAAAGAAAAGTTATACATCATATATGAGTAAAAATCCAATAGTAATGTCCCAACTTCAAAAGAAGATGTAGAAAGGTAATCTTGCGGTAATTCTTCGTTTGGATATGGATCTTGTTGTTTTTGCTTTTAGAACTCTGTTTCAGGCCACAACTTGCACAAACGGCTGTGGTGCCATCGGTTGACATGCCATCGTCATTGCAGACCATCTCTGAACACCTCAAAGTTCAGCTTCTCATCAGAAGTTACCAAGTGAGATTCTGTGATGTCCTTATAACGTAGATCACTGGTAGCTTTTCTCAGACCCGAGGACACAATATTGCTGATCTCGACCCTCTTGGCATTAACAGTGCTGATCTTGACGATACGATACCCCCCGAACTCGAATTGTCCTTCTATGGATTTGGTGAAAGAGACCTCGACAAGTGAGACTTGAAAACAATTACATATATACTAGGATATGTACCAGTTTCGCCTCTTAAGGTTTTACTTTTTAGGGAATTCGTTCTACCACCGACAACTTTCATTGGTGGTGAAAAGCCATCGCTCACACTTAGGGAAATTCTCCATAGATTGAAGGTTTG